AACGAACCATGCCAGACAATGCGGCCACCACGGGAAGCATTCAGTGTTAATGGATCTGTTGAGACAGCTCTACATCGCTGAAAAAGACCATGATCGCATATATGTAAGGCCAGAATCTTGGCGAATCTCACTGAACTGAACAGTTCATGTCCCTAGAATAATGCCATCAAATTCTCTCGGCGCCTCAGAGTCCATCTCTCGTCCTTGATCTCGCTCACATGTGCACCTCCCCTGTGCAAAATCACATCTCATCTTCTGTGCAAAATCACATCTGTGCAAAATCACATCTCATCTTCTGTGCAAAATCACATCTCATCTCATCTGTGCAAAATCACATCTCATCTCTCCTGTGCAAAATCCTCGGGAGAGTAATTGCTACGGAACTGTGAAAGGCATTAATCTCCAATTTGATCATCATCAGTTCGGAAACATCAAAGGAAGCTCCACCTTCTACTGCCTGGCTGACTTTGTTATTACACCACCTCAAAAGCAGACAAACGAGAGAACGGGACCTCCGTCACCATCGACCTGCGGATGGCATTCGACCTCATCGATCACACCACCTTAATCAAGGAAATGATTTTCCTGGATTTTCGCGACGGCTGGGAGAAATGAATCTCCTTGATCGAGCAAATAACCATCCGAATTGATTGAATTTATTTGCGGTGACCCTGAAGGAACCGTTCTTGGCACATTGTTATTCGTAACAATGGTTAGTAAGGATAATGTTCCACACGCGAAGGTCTATGAATGTGTGAGTGACTTATTGGCAATCGTACACAAATCAGGGCAAACATGTTGCTACAGGATTCCATGAATCATGTGAACGATTTTCTGAACGGAATTAGAAGTCAAATTCAATATTCCAGTCGCGCTTCTGAAGTGAATCGGTGAGGAGTCGTTATTAGTGAAGATATAAAGAACAACAACAACAACAAAAACTTGTGCATTTGAAATTATCAAACTATACCTCATGTCCCGATGCGCTAAATCGGCTAAAAATCCACTCCATAGAAAATGGGAGAGAGTTTTTAGCAAAAGAGGTCGCCAGAAACAGCGAAACATCCGCTACACATCGTGCCCACCTTCTGGACCTGCGTCAGTCTAGGAAACGCCTCCGCGAGGTTGATGCAGAGAACCAAAATATATTCAACCAGATATGTCATTTGTACCTTTTACATAAATGCCAATATTTCTAAGTAATAGCTTTACAGTGTTGATGTTGATAATGATAACAATAATGATAATGAAATTAATAATGCTAATGGTAAAGATAATGAAAATATTAATGATAAGAAATAATAATAATGAAAATATTAATGATGATAATGACAATGTTACTATCATTAGATGATAAGAATAATATCGTCATTATAATAATGATAATTATTATTGTTATTGTTATTATTATTATTATTGTTATTATTATTATCATTATTACACACAAACATCTAATTGTCATATCATTACTATCCTCTTGCTCAGTGAAGATATTAATTCTCTTCCATACTTTTTGTACATGTACCTGTGCATATGTATGGGTATTTATGTGTATGTATGTGTGTATCTACCTATGAATGAATGTACGTATACATGTATATATGCATGGATATATGTGTATATAATGATATTGTTCTACAACTCATTTTTCATTTTCTTTACAGCTTCCTACTATGTCCTGCCAAGAGCGACTCCTTTGCGAATTGGCTGCTGATCCAGACAGTTTTTCGCCCATCGGGGAGATCTTCATGAAGGAGCTGAGGTGAAGTGTTCGTGGCTGTTGGTCATTGTCATAATCATGATAATCTTCGCATCATCTTTATTATTATCATCGGTATTATTATCATCGGTATCATATTTTTTCATCATCATATCATCATTATCATTATTGTATGATTATATGTGTTGTGTGTGTGTGTGTGTGTGTGTGTGTGTGTGTGTGTGTGTGTGTGTGTGTGTGTGTGTGTGTGTGTGTGTGTGCGTGCCATTATCATACAGTGCCATATGCAATTTCCTCATTATTAACACATATCTCTTCCCCTCCTTTCCACAGGCTCAACCATGGCCCCGTGAAAACCACATCAGACTCCCTCATGTGGCGTTATATTTCCTCAGCAAGAGAAGGGTTTGGGTCAGTCAGTGGACAGTGTGCAGTCTCCTTCCCCATTTGCCCATACGCTCCAGACAGGATTCTTAACATGCCAGTTTTGAAGGTGTGGCAGTATATTTCCGAAAGGTTGAATCTTCAGCTGGTATGAGTTGGTATTTTAAATGGGTTTTGACTTTATGAAGTGATGTTGGATGTCTTTAGAAATTATTTTTGAGTTATAGAGTAATTTATTGAATGGTTAAGAATTGTGTTGAGTATGTAGAGTAACAATAGATTTTTTTTTTCATTTTTCATTGTCTGTTACACTGTATGTATACTTTTATTTATTTTTTGTTTGGTTTTCTTCCCTTTGGAATTTTTAACAAGCCTGTTGAGTATTTTTCTAATATGTCAAATCGTCAGTGGATTTGGATATCTTTAGTACTGGATTTAAAGAATCATGAATTTACATTTTGTAATGATTTAATGGTTGTTGCTAAATATCAGTTTTTATCAATATTATTACTTTTACTATTAACTATTATCATTATTATAATGATGATAAATTATTATCATAATTAATATTAGTGACAATGTTATTATCATTATTGTTGTTATTATCATTATCATTGTTGTTATTATTATTATTATTATTATCATATTAATTTCTTCCAATGTTAACATTTGTTTACTGAAGGTCTGGCAGTATATTTTCGGATAAATTGTAGCTTTAGTTTATTTGGGCATTATTAAATATTTATGTATACATATATATATGTATACTAAGTTATAAATGACTAGATATTATCTTGTTTTTCACTAATGCACACAAGTCAAACACAACAAAAACCTGTCTTATTCTGGGCATTCACTTTTCAAATTAGGCTTCAAATAATTACATCTTCCTTTGAAAGAAGGAAGATCATATTTATAACCAGTTTCTGGAGACTGGCTTTCGTACATTTTTTGAAGATGATCTATGGCAAGCTGGTTTTGTAAATATATATGATATATGTACAATTCCATTTGAATATAACATATGCACAATAAATATAAAACAGTCCAGTGTTTTTTTTTCTTTCTTACCTGTCTTTGACTTCAACTTTTTGTCCCAAGAAAGTTAATGAAAAAAATATAAAGCACTCATGCTTTCACTAAAAATTCTTATAATAAAAAACAAAACAAAACATCTCTCTTCTAATTAGATGTTTGTCAAGGTATATCATTCCATCTACATTTAATGAACAAGAAATATCCAAATAAAGACTAAATATGATTAACTGCCAACAATGTTTTCATTTGTCAGATATAAATGCAGCTAATAGAAACACCACACAACTTAACTGTTATAATCATCACAAATTAACAACACACTGCTTACAAATCTTACAAGTTCTTCTGCAATGAAGCTAAAAATCACTTTTCTCTGTTTCAAGATATATTTCATATCAAAGGATACCTTTGGCCAAATAACAGAAAGGAATCCTAAGTTACTTGTTTAACAAACTAATTCATACTAAATCTGCTATAACATTACAGGTAAGTAGTGCTTCACCAAGAAGGGATTAGTTTTCAAAAATTTCTTCTGATAAAAAGCTCACTGAAAGTGTATGTACTATAAAAGTGTCACGCTGACCCTGTGTATGTTTGCTCTAACAATTATATCATTGAAAAAAAAAAAAAAAAAAACTTGCTCTTCGATCTGTAACTCGCAACATAAAGGGGAAAAATCATGTTATAGTTTTAGCTTACATGGCAGACGTAAGTAGTTGTACAAACCACATATATGTACTGTACATAAAGACGGAATAGAAAAATCATATCACAACTTCAGTGTTATCATTCTGTCAAAGTTTTATAAAGGGTACTCTGCTTTGTAGGTAAATGCCTCTGTATTTTCATATACTATGGAGTGCATTTTGCACTAATCTTGGACTGGCTCACACTACAGTGATCTAACTCAGCTCAGAGTGATTTACTTAGTTTGCATATTTAATTACTTGTATTATCACATACCATACCTGTATGTACCATGCATAAATGCTAAGGAGCTGTCAACTTAAAAAGTGTATTGTTATTACTTAAAATACTGATTCTTGAGATACAACTACGGTAAGCAGCTCATCTTTTCAAATTACTTAACAAATGACTATAAGTGCAAGAATAAGTGTGTGCCCAAACAGTTCTTGAGAAAGTATGTCTCAATGATATATCTTTTCTCATTTCTTTATAAAATCCTATTTTTGGTCATGATTTGTTTTAGGAAATAACATGATAATGTGCTAAACCCTCCCTGTGCTACTGTGTGAGCCACGCATAAATATATGTGTGCAAATGTATGTAACAAAGGAAGAAAGATTGAGAGAGAAACAGAAAGACAACGAGAGAAAGAGAGAGAAAGAGGAGAAGAGAGAGAGAGAGAGAGAAGAGAGAGAGAGAGAAGGGAAGAGAGAGAGGGAAGAGAGAGAAGAGAGAGGAAGGAGAGGGAGAGAGAGAGAGAGAGAGAGAGAGAGAGAGAGAGAGAGAGAGAGAGAGAGAGAGAGAGAGAGAGAGAGAGAGAGAGAGAGAGAGAGATAAATACACACTATCTAGACATGAAGTAAAAATAACAGTGTGGCTACTGGGTATTCATGATGAACTTTAAACTTTATATCTTTTTAAAATCTTTAACATTACCTCTACAAAAAGTTACGAAATTTACTCGCTGTCAGCATTATCTGAGCTGACACTTTCTTTCAAGGTTGAACTGTCAATGTCAGTCTGGCCTTCCTCTGCTACAAGAGATTCACTTGGCATGAAAACAGTTGCTTGTGGATCTGTGGACTTGGCAGAGGAATCGTCAACAGGGCAAGTGGTAGAATCTTTCCCCTGGTCTTCACAAACATTTGTCTTATTGGAACTCTTCTTTTCT